CCAGGCAGCAAGAGACCCCCCCCCAGCAGCACCCGAACTTGGGGGGCCACCAGGCAGCCCCCCAACATCCTCCACCTGCACCGCCAGGAGCGAGAAGCCTTCTTCACCCTGCTGGGTAAGAGTTAACAAACCCACCAAAATCCTGCACAAATGGGGGGGGGGGAACCCCAAACCCCCAACCTGGGGGGGGTTTTTCCCCAAAAAATAATTTTTGATCTCGTAATTTTATTTTACTCCTCTTTAAGATGACAACGTGGTGCAGGAGTTCCTGTCGATGGATGTCTGCTGCAGGATTTCCGATAAGGTTAGTCCTTAAAAGTACTAGTTTATAATTTTTAAGGAAAAAAAAAACCCCAACCTTCTGTCTGAACTTAGGGACTTTTTTCCCCTAAAATCGTTGTTTTTCTCCTCATTTCCAGTACCTGCTGGCAATGGTGCTGACGTACTTCAAGCGAGCCGGCCTGTCTACCAGCGAGTACACCCGCATCAACCTCTTCACTGCCCTGTATGTACCCCGTGATGACCTCATTAATGAAGCGGGGGGCTCTAACGAAGCCCCTCCCCCCCAGCTCATTAACAAAGCAGGGCTCCAACTCCACCCCCGCTAACGAAGCAGGGCTCTAATGACACCATCAAACCCCCCCAAAAGGAATTTAAACCCCCAAACCAAACTGCTGCAGAGATCCCCAAGCTGCCTCGTCCCCTTCCTGTTATCCCACCTGTTGAATTGTCCCAAAATCCCTGGAATTTGCCTCTTTTTGGTTTGTTTTTCCCCTCGCAGGTACCTGGCGAACGACATGGAGGAGGATGAGGAGGAGCACAAGTACCAGATCTTCCCCTGGGCGCTGGGCCGGCGCTGGCGGCGGCTCTTCCCGTGGTTTCTCCGGCGTCGCGACCGTCTCTGGGCTCGGATGAATTACCGGGCGGTCGTCAGTCGGCACTGCTGTGAGGAGGTCGGTGCTGAAACACACCCAAAATCCTTTCATTTCACCCCAGAAAAATAAATCCTTAGAAGCCATTCCACCCCCCCAAAAAAATAATCCCTAAAGACGCCCAAAATGTGGTGAGAATCAGAAATGAAATTTAAATTTTTATGGCCGGTTCGCAGCCTGCTGTAAAATGTCTGGGTTGTTTTTTTTTTTCTAAAAATTGCTGCTTTTTTTAGGTTTAATTATTGGGGGTTTGGGGTTGGGCAAGTTGCACCCCCTGGCAGGAGGGGGGTGGCAGTAGGCCCCCCCCCCCGCTCCGTCACACCGGCTGCTGCCAAAATCTTGTGCCAGGGGTTTGAGGCCCCGAAAATGGGGACTTTGGGGCCCCAAAAACCAGTGGTTTGGCCCCAAAATTGTGGGGGTTTTAAATCTCAATGTGGAGTTTTAAGCCCCCCAATTCACCAAGTTTTAGAGCCCCCTTAATGCTTTGAGGGGGGGGGCACGGGAGGGGGGT